TGCCTTGATTGTGCCAAGTGCTAGCAGTTTTACTCACCAGAGCTTTTGCATCATCAGTGCAAATGTCAACGCAATGTTTTGACAAATCATGTTTTAGTATTTTTATGAAAATAATTTTGACCATATGTACCCTTTTGGAATCTGCTTTCTCAAAGCACTCCATCTGTATCTTTCTCATGGTATTTGCCAGGGATTACCTTGTTTTGTAATATAATATCTCCTAGAGGACTAAGACTTCAGGTTCTTTGAGGTTAGGCCAGTTGTCTTTACAGTCTCCATTACCTAGCACAGTGCTTTGCACATAATAGGAAGTCAGTAAATACTTGCTGAATTGATGTGTAGAACCTTTTTCATTACTTTAGGTATGTTTCAAAACTCTTGCATCAGTTAAAAAAAATGCAAATAATGGGTGACTGCTTTTCTTCCCATTTGTGATGTGCTTTGTTTTTGTTTTTTCTTTTGTTGTATAGAAGGGTTGTCAAATCAAGGCTGATTTCTTAAAAACTTGAGGTTCAGCTTTGTTTACATTTCCCTCGGTCACCAAGTTCTGCTTCCTTTCATCTACCTACCTCTGCCTCGGTTTAGGCACTCCCCCTGCAGATTAGTGTGATAGATTTCAACCTTCTCTCTGCAGTCTGACTCTTAGTGGATCTACCCCGCTCTCTACCATAGTGAGCTGTTTGAATGCAGATAATAATAGCTAATACTTACATAGGGCTTCCTCTGTGCCAAGCACTCTTTTAACATATTTAATCCTCAACAACCTTGTGAAGGAGGTACTCCCTTGGGAGGGAGGCCCAGAGAAGTGACCTAGGGAGCCTGGTTCTGTAGTTCCAAGTGTCTGCTCATAGCAACTATGCTAGACTGTCTCACTGCTTAGCATAAAACCCCTTGGTGTCTTGTTTTTGTCTGCAGGCTAAAGGTCAAGCTCCTAAACATGCCCTTTAAGACCTTCCATGATCCAATTTCTGCTCTTTTAGGACCTCGTGATCTCCTACCTTTTTCATGCTGCAAGCTCTGGCAATTCCAGTCTGCTTCTACCTTACCTGCACAGTGCTATGTAAAACCTCTGTGCCTTAGCTGATGCTGTCCCATCTGCCTGTGCCCCATTCATCTAACGAATTCCTATTTTTGAGATTCATCTCAGGTGGTAGCTCTGAAGTTTTCCTTGACCTTTCTCCTTTGTTCCTCTCCCCACTAGGTAAGGAGCTGACAGTATGATGTGGGAGACACATGACTGTATTACAGGTGTGTTAAGTACCATAAGAAAGATAACTTTATAACAAAGACAGATATTTTGCAGTTTGCAGCTTGGTCTTTTAGCCCAGAGTAGACTATTAGGGTAGGACTCATTTTACACCATTAGTATTTGGTACCTAAACAAAAAGTGAAATGTTTTCTGAATAAATGAATACTTCTCCTAAATTGTATTTCCTATTTCATAATTGCCTCAAAATCATGAAAAGTCTATAGACTTTTGGAAAAGTATAAATATAGATTTCTCGGATTTGATATGTTTAGGTAATGAATTTTTCTTCTCTCTTTTTTTCTTTCACAAGCTTCTTGCCCGACTTGAAGGTAGAAGTTCCTTGAAAGAAATAGAGCCATACCTGTTTGCTGACGAAGAATCACCTGTACATGGTAAAAACAAAACTTCAAACCAAAATATAGTGTCGTAACTTAAGTTTTACCAAACAAGTTTTTTCCCCAACCTATGTTCATATATATCCACATACTCCTAGCAAAAAGTTATGTAGTTAAATTGTAAAATTAAACCTGAGAAGCAGACCATGACAGAAAAATTTTAAGCCAGATATCTCCAACCCTTCCTTTATTTGTGTCAGATGTGATGAATTTTGGCATGTCTGGGGTAAATCTTTAGAATAAACATCAACCTCTCTCTTTTGTTCCAACATATAATGTGAGAGTTTTTAAAATTGTGGTTTGTTTACATTCTTAAGAAGTTTGTACAATCACAGGAAAAATCCTTAGGTACCCACTTGTTGTATTAGTAGTTCTACAGTGGGGAAAACAGGTACTCTCTAGTTCGTTAGCACTTCTCTGCTAGGGAAAATATATAAAGAAGGTAACACACTTTATTTTTTGCTTTTTTTAAATTTAATAGTTTTATTAACATGTAATTACACAGCATACAGTTGACCCATTTAAAGTGTACAATTCAGTGGTATTTAGTATATTCACAATGTTTTGCAGCCATCATCACAATATTTTCATCACCCCAAAAAGAAACCCTGTACCTATTAGTTGTCACTCCCCATGTCCTCTCAACTCCCTCAGCCCTAGGGAACCGACTTTCTGACTCTGTAGATTTGCCTGTTGTGGAATCATACAATAATGTAGTCTTTGACTGGCTTCTTTTGCTTACACAGTGAAACCTGTGAGAGCCAGAACTTGATGGGACTGCCTTGTTTTTTGGGGTCTCGCGATTTTTCTGCTTTTGACAGGGTGCAGTCTTACATTTTTCTTTCACTCGTTTTAGTGAAAAATATTTTAGTTTTCGTTCTTTGACAGATATCCAGCTTACACAGGTTCCGGCTTTTGCAAGTTTTATTGTGTAATGTTTTCAAGCTTCATCCATATTGTAGCATGAATCAATACTTCACTCCTTTTTATTGCAGAATAATATTTCATTGTGGATATGCCACACTGTTTATCCATTCATCTGTTGATGGACATGTTTGGTTGTTATGAGTAATGCTGTTATGATCATTCATGTACAAGTTTTTGTGTGGACATATGTTTTCAGTCCCCTTGGGTATGTACCTATGAGTGGGATTGCTCGGTCAGTTGGTAACTCTGTGTTTAACTTTTTGAGAAACTGCCAAACTGTTTTCCAAAGCAGCTGCACAGTTTACATTGCCTCCACTACTTTGTGAGGGTTCCAGTTTTTCCACATCCACACCAGCATTTGTTAAGTAGCAGAACAAAGATCTTATTTATATATACTTAAAGGGTCCAGCTGAGTGAATATGGGCACATGTGGCCCTACATGCAAGTAACTTTGCAAACCTAGACACAAGTGTGTATGTATCCATGTATCTGTGTCCCATAGGTACCTAGGTCTGTACCCATGCCAGTCTGTCTGCAAGCAGACACGTAGAAAGGAATTAAGAAGAATATATACTAAATTGTTGGCAGTGGTGACCTACTAAGGATTGGAGCACGAATAGAAAAGTAGTTTATATTTTGCATTTTACTCCTTACATACTTCTGCATCACTTTAATTTTGTTTAATGATAGCATATAAATATTACTGTATAAAAAGGGGGATTTGTCTTAGTTACCTCGTGCTGCCGTAACAGAAATACCACATGTAGGTGGCTTTAAAGAACAGAAATATATTTTCTCACAGTTCGGAGGCTAAATGTCTAAACTGGAATCCCAGCTTGTCAGTTCTTTCTGTGAGCCTCTCCTAGTTTCTGGTGTTTGCCAGCAATTCTTGGTGTTCCTTTGCTTGTAGATGAGTCCTCACATGGCATCTGGTTCCCCTGGTGTGTGTGTGTCTGTTCTGCTCTTTTTATAACTCTGAAGTGATTAGGTTTAGGACACACCCTACTCTGATATGACCTCATTAGCATAAAAAAAGAAAAGCCTTTGTTTCCGAACAGGATCACATCTAGAGGTACAGAGGCCAGGACTTCAATACATATTTTGAGGGGACACAGTTCAGTCCATAACAGGGTTCTTATGAATAACTGATGTTGATAAAATACAATACTCAATTTTTAGCATATAAATGAACATTGTTCTTTCAATAAAAAATGCTTATGGTATTTTATATAACTTAGCACCTGTCACTAACCTGTAGCAGTATATGATGGTTTCAATTTCTCCATTTCCTACAAACAATTGTTATTGTCTACTTGATTATAGCCATCCTAGTGAGTATGTAGTGGTATCCCATTGTGGGCTTGATTTGCATTTCCCTGATGGCTAATGATGTTGGGCATTTTTACATGTGCTTATCGGAAACCCTGGTGGCGTAGTGGATAAGAGCTATGGTTACTAACCGAAAGGTTGGCAGTTCGAATCCGCCAGGCGCCCCTTGGAAACCATATGGGGTAGTTCTACTCTGTCCTTTAGGGTCACTATGAGTTGGAATTGACTCAATGGCAACGGGTTTTTTTGTTATTTTTGGTAGTGGCCATTTGTGTATCTTCTTTGGAGAAGTGTTTATTCATATCCTTAGCCTATTTTCAAAATTGGACTGTTCTTGTTTTCATTATTGATATGTAAGGATCTTTTCTGTATTCTAGATAGCAAAACAAAGGTCTTATTTATATATACTTTTTTTTTTTTAAGGGTCCAGCTGAATGAGTATGGGCACATGTGGCCCTGCATACAAATAACTTTTATATATGATTTGCAAACATTTTTCCCACGCTGTGGGTTGTCTTTTCACTTTTTTTGATGGTGTCCTTTGAAGCAGAAAAATTAATTTTGATGAAATCCAGTTTATCAATTTTTTTTCTTTTGTCATTCATGCTTTTGGTGCCATATCTAAGAAACCATTGCTTAACTCAAGATCGTGAAGATTTATGGCTCTGTTTTCTTCTAAGAGTCTTATAGTTTTAGCTCTTACATTGAGGTTTATGTTTCATTTTGAGTTAATTTTTATATATAGGATGAAATAGGGGTCTAATCTCATTATTTTGCATGCAACTCAACTATCCAGTTGTCCAGGCACCAATTCTTGAAAGACCATTCTTTCCCCATTGAATTATCTTGGCACTCTTGTCAAAAACCAATTTACCATAAATGAATGGGTTTTATTTGTCAATTCTGTTCCATTCATCTGTGTGTCTACCTTTATGCTAGTACCACACTGTTTTGATTCCTATAGCTGTGTAGTAAGTTTTGAGATAGGAAATGGTTGTTCTCCAATTTTGTTTTTTTTCAAGATTGTTTTGTCCATTCTAGGCCCTTTGAATTTCCATGTGAAGTTTAGGATCAGCTTGTCAATTTCTATAAAACAGGAAGCTGGGATTTTGATGGGTGTTGTATTGAATGTGTCCATCAATTTGGGGACTAGTGCTATTTTAAATATAGTCATGCATCCATTAACGTCCACAATATAGTCTGTGAAATAGGGCATTACGTGATACGGATGTTGTGTGAACATCATATTGTATACTTAGCAAAGCTATATGGGATGCCTTTTGTTTCACTTCCAAATTGATACTTCTTCTTTGCCTCTTGCAGCTGCTATCACTTGCACTAGTTTTGCTGCATTTGGGAGCCATGATGCACTTCACAGTAATATTTTATAAATAAAATTAAACATACAATGCTACAACACCCAAGAGATGTACGATAACACAAGATGGGATGCTGCTACCTACAAGCTGAAGCAAACACTGTCGTACAGTAAACTTTTTATTTGTAAGTAAGGAAAGTTCACATTAAAATAATGATAGAAAGTATAGTAAAGTACATACAGAGGCCAGTAACATAGGCATTTATTATGACTATCAAGACATATGTGTTATAGGTTATGTATGTACTGTACCATTATACGCCTGGCAGTGCAATCACTTTGTATACAAGAGACATGAAATACATGTGTTGCGTGCAGGAAGCTGTTGTGTTTTCTACATCTGCTTATGTCTGCTACGTCTCATTCTCTGATTGGGATTTCTGAACTGTGTTATAACCTTATGGGACCATGGATTTATATGTGGTCAGACGTTGTCCGAATGGACATTTTGCAGCACATGACTGTACTGAGTCTTCTGATCCATGAACACAGCACGTCTTTCCGTTTATTAAGTCCTCTTCAACTGTTTTCAACAGTGTTTTGTAGTTTTCAGAGTATAAGTTTTACACATCTTTTGTTAAATTAATCCTAAGTATTTTATTCTTTTTGATGCTATTCTAAGTGGAATTGTTTTCTTAATTTCATTTTCAAATGGTAGCACAGTGGTTAAGAGCTCAGGCTGCTAACCAAAAGGTCGGCAGTTCAAATCCACCAGGCACTTCTTGGAAACCCTATGGGGCAGTTCTCTCTGTACTGTAAGGTAGCTGTGAGTTGGAATCAACTCAATGGCAATGGGTTTGGTTTTGGTTTAGTGTATAGAAATAGAATTGATTGTTGTATATTGCTCTTGTATCCTGCAACCTCTGAACTTGTTTTTCAAGTTATGTGTGTGCGTATGCGTGTGTGTGGATTCTTAGGGTTTTTTATGTACAAGATCATGTGATCTGCTAATAAAGATAGTTTTACTTTTTCCTTTCCAATCTGAATGCCTTTTATTTCATTTTCTTGCTAGATCTCTGGCTAAAACCTCCAGTGCAATCTTGAATTGAAGTGTTAGAGTGGCCATTCTTTTCTTGTTCCTGACCTTAGGGGAAAAGAGTCAGTCTTTCCCCCATTAAGTATGATGTTAGCTATGGGTTTTTCATAGATACCCTTTATCAGGTTGAGGAAGTTCCCTTCTAGTCCTAGTTTTTCTACTGATTTTATCATGAAAGGATGTTAGATATTGTCAAATTGTTTTTCACATATATTGAGATAATCATGGTTCTTTTCATTTATTATGTTAATAGAATGTGCTACATTAATTGAATTTTTTGGATGTTAAACTAATCTCGCATTCATGGGAGAAATCCTGCATGGTCATAGTGTATAATCCTCTTTTACTTTGCTGGATTTGGTGTGCTGATATTTTGTTGTGGATTTTTGCATCTATATTAATATTGATAGTGGTCTCTAGTTTCCTTATGATGTCTTTGTCCAATTTTGGTATCAGGGTAATATACAAGCCTCATAGAATGAGTTTAAGTGTTCTCCTATTTTTTGAAGGCTGAAGAGTTGACATTAATTCTTCTTTAAATGTTAGCTAGAATTCACTAATTAAACCATCTTGTTCTGAGCTTGCTTTGTACAATGTTTTTTGATTACTAATTTAGTCTCTTTACTTGTTATATGTTTATTCATATTTTCTATTTCTTCTTGAGTCAGCTTTGTAAGTTTGTGTCTTTCTAGGAATTTGTCCATTTCATCTAGGTTATCTAATTTATTGGCATATAGCATTCCCTTATAATTGTTTTTATTTTAGCAGGGCTGTTAGTATTATCTTCTCTTTCAAACCTGATTTTATTAATTTGCATCTTCACTTTTTTTTTCTTGGGCAGTCTAGCTAAAGGTTTATCCATTTTATTGATCTTTACAAAGAGCCCACTTTTGATTTTGTTAATGTTCTCTGTTGTTTTTCTATTCTCTATTTCATTAATTTCCACTTCAATTTGTATTATTCCATTTCTTCTACTTGCTTTGGGTTCAGTTTACCCTTCTTTTTCTGGTTTCTAAAGATGGAAGGTTAAGTTATTGGTTTGATATTTTCTTTTCAGTTTAGGCTTTTACAGCTCTAAATTTCTTCTAAGCACTGTGTTAACTGCATCCCATAGACTTTGTTATGATATGTTTTCATTTTCATTCATCTCAAAGTATTTTTAAATTTCCTTTGTAATTTCTCCTTTGACCCAGTGGTTATTTTAGAGTATATCTTTTAATTACCACATATTGCAAATGTCTCAAATTTCCTTTTTTAAATTAATTTCTGTTTTCATTTTTCTCTGATTGAAGAACATACTTCTATTATTTTAATCCTTTTAAATTTATTGAGACTCGTTTTATGGTTTAACATGCTCTATCCTGGAGAATATTCCATATGCACTAGAGAAGAATGTGTATTCTGCTGTGGTTGTGTCTAGTGTCTATAGTTCTACTTGGTTTATAAAGTTATTCAAGTCTATTTTCTTGTTGCTCTTCAGTCTAGTTGTTCTACACATTATCGACAAAGGAGTATTGAAGTCTCCAGCTATTACTGTTGAATTATCTATTTCTCCCTTCAGTTCTGTCCATTTCTGCTTCATGTAAGTTTATTATTATATCTTCTTGCTGGATTGACCATTTTATTATAAAATACCCTTCTTTGTTTTTAGTAACAATTTTTGTCTTAAAGTCTTTTTTGTCTGATAATGGTATAGTTTTTTCCACCATTTTACCTTCAGCCTCTTGTGTCTTTGGATCTAAAGTGTGTCCATTGTAGTCAGCCTAAAGTTGGATCGTGATTTTTTTTTTTAATTTCTTTCTGCCAATCTCTGCCTTTTGATTGGAGTATTTAGTACATTTACACTTACTGTAATTACTAGTAAGATAGGATTTATGTCTGCCATTTTGCTATTTGTTTTTTATATGTGTTATATATTTTTCTCTAGTCCTTTACTGCCTTCTTTTGTATCAAACAGACATTTTTGTAGTGTACCATTTTAATTTCCTTCTCACTACTTTTACTATATATTATAAATTATTTTCTTAGTGATTGCCCTGGTAATTACAATTAACATCTTAATTAATAATCTAATTTGAATTAATACCAACTTAATTTCAATAGTTTGTAAAAACTTTGCTCCGTTCCTTCACCTTCACCTTTGTGCTGTTATTTCATAGAAATTGCATCTTTATACAGTATACATCCATAAACACAGTTATAATTATTACTTAATGCAGAGAGATGAAAAGAGCGACAAACAAAAAACATTTATATTGTCTTTTATATTTACCTATGTAGTTACTTTTGCCTTTGTTCTTTCTTTCTTCATGTGGATCCAAATTATTCTCTAGCATCCTTTAATTTCAGCCTGAAGGACTCCCTTTAGTATTTCTTGTAGTGTATGTCTGCTAGCGAAAAATTCTCTTAGATTTTATTAAAATCCGAGAATGTCTTAATTACTCCTCGTTTCTGAAAGATAGTTTTGCTGGATTTAGAATTCTTGGTTGATACGTTTTTTCTTTAACATTTTGTAGATGTCATCTGATTACCTTCTGACTTTTGTGATTTCTAATGAGGTCAGCTGTTGAATGTTTTTCACTAAGTTTGGAAAGTTTTTGGTCATTATTTCTTCAGATATTTGTTCAGCTCCTCTCTCTTTCTCTTTTCCTTCTGGGGCTTCCACAATGTATATGTTGGTACACTTAATGGTGTCCCCCAGGTCTGTGAGGCCATTTCTTTTTTTTTTTTAATTTATTTTCTGTTTTTTAACAGAAATAATCTCTAGCTCATATGTGGTTTGGATCCTGTCTAGTAAATCTTTCATTTCAGTTATTGTACTTTTCTACCCCAGAATTTCTATTTGTTTCTGTTTTATAATTTCTGTCTTTATTGATATGTTCTCTATTTGGTAAAAAAATCATTCTCATACTTTCATAAGTTTCAACTCAATAATATCACTTCCTATAGAGAGAATAGAAAGATAGTTCAGTCTTTTTGTCTAATGGTTGAACAAAATTTGTCTATTATTGGTAGTTCAGAAAAATTTTTTCTAACTTTTTACTTTATTATTGGTAAAGTATAAATTTTTAGAACCGTTGCCAACTTTGGACAGTGTCTTTCATATATGAGTTGTTACATTATACTTACTGTTTGTTACAGCTTAGTGCCTTTACAAACACAGGAATCCTGATAAATTCTATTTCACATGATTTCCACCCCCTCAAGAAACGGTGGTGTGTTTATCAATGTATACCCTGCATTATTTCCATTTTGATTATTTATCTATAAGAACCATGTTCTCTACTTTAAAATGTTATATGTCTGATGATTGAAGGATTTTTACAGACTTGTTTCCGGCTCTGTATATTACAAACCTTGTTTTTCCATCATTAGCACATATTTCCAGTCCTGAGCACTACAGAACACATTCATATTTGTATATAACTTTGGCCCTTCACCATGAGTCGAGCCAGCTATCAGTTAATTATGTATGGAAGTGACTGTACAGTATAAATACATCCCAAATTAAATGTATCTCCAATAAACTTCTCTTTATCCAGGAACCAGAAATGTATGGGGTGCTCCCTGTTTGCAAAACAGTATTTTTCCACCCAATAAAACCTTTTAACTCTTAAAAATTTAAATAAATAAGGGGAAGCGTGTGGAGAAGTTGGAGTAGAGAAAGACAATGATCCTAATTGATTGTGATAAAAATATCTTGCTTTTGCAAATTTTACAAAAAACGTATGACCATGTAACAAATTGGTAGGATCCTTCTCAGAGCAAACTTGGGGTGAAGCAGCTGATGGGCTCTGGACCTTACACTGTATTAACATTATAGTGAATCTATCTGCATTCCTTCCGTTTTGTGCTCTGCCATCTTCAGATGAAACTTCTACCTTTTGATCTAGAGTGTCTGCTGTCACTCCTACTACTACGTCTTCATGTGCACCAGCAGAAAGCGTTTAGGGAAGAACATAAGCCAGGATTTGCATACACCATTTCCACTCATACCTCATTGGCGTCAACCTACTGACGTGGCCACACATGGCTGCAGTAGAGGCTGAAGAAGTGGGATGTTTAGCTGCATGACCATGTCACAGCAAA